CTACAGCCTATTCTGCTAAGTTCCTGCCCCAGGCTCTGGAAATCATTCTGCACAGAGAGCACATCTTTTTGAGACATATCGTTAGTGCCCAGATGTACAATAGCCTCCACATCATAGTCCTTGCTGGCATTCTTGATTATTTTATAAATATGTTCCTTGTCCCTACTGGCAGTAGCACCTGGAAAATACCTGACCTCTTTCGAAAACTCTGTGTCTAAATTTACATCCCTTATAATTGAATCACCAACCAGAAGGTGGCTTCTCTTTTTGGGTGCCTTTCTGTTGTTGCATGACTGATGTGTAATACTTGATTCGCACTTCTCACTGTTGAAAACAAGTTCTTCATCTCGGACCAAGATCCCCTGCTTATTTGAGTTATGATCACATTATTTTAAATAAGAAAGACCATTTAATTACAGTTTTTTTGGAAGGACTAGCCCAATTTAATCTCCTCCCTATTGCTCCAGTTTTCCACAATTATCCTGATAAATTTATCTTCCATTCAATCTGTTCTTCTCCCTTTTCCTCAAATTTCTTCTAATTTATATAAAAAGTCTTTTCTATTTTCAGTGTTGTCACTCTCTTTTCTAATTTTTCCATTGGCTGGATCTGTTGGTCAGTTGGGTCTTCTGTCTTAGTATTTAGTTATTCCACTTCTCCTGTTACTTGCTGCATTGTTAGTTCTTTGGTTATAGTCACGATCTGGGTTTGTATATCTAAGCTGGCATCTTGTTCCTTTATGTTGCCTCTTATTTTGCTACATGCTGAAAGAATGCTTTCGTGTATTGATTTCAACATAAAAAGGATTTTTTCTTTATCCATATTCTCTTGATAATATATTAAGTTGAAAATTTTAAAATCAAATGTTAAAAATAGTTTTTTGTTTTTTATACCTAGGTATGGGACATGTTATAGGTAGTCTTTATAGTGGAAATTCTTTGCTAAGTAAGAATTTATAGTCCAAAGTAGTCCATCATCTTGTATAATAACAGATACTTCTCATGTAAAGAAATAGGAAAACAATTTCTCACATATAGCTCTGAAAATCAGTAAAGGTTTATCTTCATAGATCAAACAGGCCAGATATGCCACCCTGCAGTTCCTTTTTTTACAGCTGAGTTTTTCACAGGTGGTATCTGACAAGGTCAAAGAGTTTTTTCTAAATTCTAGGCTTCAAGCCAAATCTCTTTTAGTCAATAACAAGTTGTAATACCATACTTCGCCACAAGATGGTACTGATGCTATTTAAAACTTTTTAAGTCCTCTGTTTTATAACAGTTTTTCAAAGTTTATTTCTTTTCTTTTTAGATAAAAATCACCGTATCCAGTAGAAATAGGAATAAAAAAACTTTTAGGAAAAGTATATGCATCCAATTAGATTAAAGTTGTTTTTATAATTGCTTTGTTTCCCCTGGGTAGTCAGTCACCACTGTTCTTAGAGGGTGGGGTAGGAATTCCCTCTCTCCTCACATGAGAAAAAATACTTAGGGCAGTTTTTGCAGGAAAGGTATTTAGAGTCTTAAAGAGAAGATCAGATCTCACCCAATTTCATCCACATTGCTTTAAAGGTGCTTGGAAGTACGGTGCTTGGAAGTACAGTGCCCCTCTTCACTTGCGTGCAGGGATTTCTCCATCTGCTTCCATTCTGGTTGCTTGGTCCCCCATCTCAGGGTCACCTTTCTTGATTCCTTTCCCCACTCACTTTTCTTTCCAACGCCCATTGACCAGCGAGGCTTGTGGTCCCGTGTCTCCACTTTTCTTTCCAACGCCCATTGACCAGTGAGGCTTGTGGTCCCATGTCTCCACCACTTCTTCTCCTGAGGAATCTGACCTCTCGGATCCCGACATCTGGCAAGGTTCCAGTCGAGGCAGTGGCTCTCTTTCCGGGGAGTTTTCCCCCTTTCTTGCTCCATTGTCTGACATGGTAATTTTTTGCAAAATCCCCCAGCAAGGGTCTCCCTTCCAGGTGGATTAATTTTGCAAGTCCTGTCTAACGTAAGGACCCACCCCACTTTGCATCTTAAGAAGACAGAACTCTTGGAATAGTTCTTCCAACAGGCATCCTTTATTAAGAGAAAATGGTTGCAGGCGTTCTAGACAGGACTTGGGGTCCAAGCTCTCCCATTCAAGGTTTTAAGGGGTTCCCCAGTAGCCCCACCCAATCACCCCCTACTTCCAGCGACAGTCTCAGGCATTACACTCCCACCCCCTTTTCCTTACTGCTAGCTGGATGGAGACTTCAGAGAATACTACATGAAAGGTAATAGCCCCCTTTGTTATGATTAGGTCTTTTGGTGCTATCCACATTCAGTTCCTTTGAAATGTATTGAAGGAAGTGAGGGCCATAAAGCCCCTTTATTCAACCCCTTCCCTTCATCGTATGACAGAGAAGGCAGAAATGGAGTTTTCTATAATTGATAACTAGAGATGAAATATAATTGGATTCTGACACACCAGGACCTGTGGGATTATATTCCACTTTTCTGAAGGAGCTGGCAGATGTCATCTCCAAACCATTGTACCATATCTTTAAAAAACCCTGGAGCATTGGGGAACTACCAGAGGATTGGAAAAGAATTGATGAGATTCTCATCTTCAAAAAAGAGAAAAAAAAAAACAGACCCAGGAAACTACAGATTAATCAGCCTAACATCAATACCTGGGAAGACACTGGAAAAAATAATCAAAAAACAGATCTGTGAACATCTAGAAACAAATAGTTATAACTAACACAGATTTGTCAAAAACAGATCATGCCAAATCAATTTTATTTCATTCTTTGACAAAGTGACTAAATTAGATTTCAGCAAGGCATTTGACAAAGTATACCATACTTCGTAAGGTAGAAAAATGTGGGATAGACAGTAGTACTACCAGATGGATTTATAATTGGCTGATAAACCCTACTCAATGAGTAGTCCTTAATGATACTACATCTACATGGAGGGAAGTAAGCCATGGGGTGCCAAGGGTTCTGCCTTAGGCCCAGTACTCTTCAATATTTTCATAAAAGACTTAGATGAGGGAATAGACGGGGAATTCATCAAATTTGCAGCTGACACTAAGCTGACAGGAATAGCCAACATCTCAAAAGACAAGCTCAGGATCCAAAAAGATCTTGACAGACTTGAACAATGGACCCTATCCAACAACATGAAATTTAATATGGAGAAAAGGTTTTATACATCTAGGCAGAAAAAACCAAAGGTATAAATACAGATTAGGAGAAAAATTGCTTCAAAAACAATAACTATGAGAAGAACTTTGAGATCTTAATGGACAATCACTTAAATATGAGCCAGCAGTGTGCGGCAACAGCCAAAAAAGCTAAGACAATCCTTGGTTGTATAAACAGAGACATAGAATCAAAATCACATGAAGAATTAGTACTGCTTATAAATCCTTATAAAGACCACACCTGGAATGCTGCATACAATTTTGGTCACCATATTACAAAAAAGATTTTGAGACTTTAGAAAAGTGCAAAGAAGGGATCCACTGACTATAGACCAATCTGTTTTGATAGTGAGAAGCAAATTGTATGCAAAACTTCTACATCCAAAACTTTCTGAATGAATTGAAAGCAAAGCCTATTTAGAGAAGAACAGGTAGGTTTCAAGACAGGCACTCAGTGGTGAACCATGTTCTTGTGCTACATCATCTGAGATTGCTGAGGTTTGAAACAAGATATCTTAATATTTTAATTATAACCTGATCAACATCAAAGCCATTAACTTTCTAAGACTTAAGTTGGAACAATGAAGGAAGCAATTTCTTCAATTTTACTGTAACTGATGACAAGTTGCTTCTTTCTGTTGTTATAAGTCAGAATATGAAAACTCAGGACTGCTTGTGATAAAGAAATTATTTCTTCATCAGAGGAATATAAAAGAAGGGAACTGTTTCTGTGGCTCAGCATGGGGTGAGTAAGATTTAGCCCTGTGAGGTGGGCTGAGCTGAGAGATAGTGAGTGGCCCAAGGGCACCCTGCTGGCTTTCATGGCTAAGGCAAGATTAAAACTTATGGTCCCCCAGTTTCAAGTTCAATGCCTTAACTACTAGACCAAACTGGCTCTCATAATCCTCAAATTAATGAGAAGGTTTGTTTATTTTTCTATATCATATTGTGGATGAGGAAAACTTATAATGTCTATGCATAAACATGGGGAGTTACACAAGAACAAACAGGATTATTGAGTACACTTATATAAATTCTAAAGTCCTGTAGCATAAGCTTCCTTTAGACCTTCCTTAGCCTCTTAGCAGTTTGCTCAGGAGTAAAATATTCTACTCTTGATTGCTCCCTAATTTTATCTGGAGTTACTGCTGTAATTGATTTGGATATCTAAACTGGAACATAAAGTGATTCTCAAGTTGACGGAGAAGGGGAAGGTTGATTTGAGTTCAGTTGCTGAAAATATGACTTTAGGGCACTATCTAGATAGCTGAACTTTAATAATTTCTGTCCTTTTTAATCCAGTTGGTGTAGTGATTAGATACTGGGAGAGTTGTAGTAGATTATCACTCAAATTGGTTCCTCAATATGCTGTTCCTTTCTTCCTTTTTAATAAAGTTTCTGGTGTTCCAACAGAAAAGTTATCTACTTATCAAACTGAAGAAGACAATTGAGTCATTGACAAGAGATTCTTTCAACAAGAAATGGCCTTTTAATCCTGATTTCCAAATCTTTAAACTCATGAAAGGAAACACATTCAATGTTTAAGAACTTTTAAAAGTTTTTTTTCCCATTTTAATTAACACATGGATTTAAATATCACATTTTTGTGACACTTTTCTTTTAAAATTCCAGTTTTAATATTACATATTCACAACACAAAATAATTGTAATAGTTTATATAACACTGATATCTATTATATAAACTACTACAATTCATATTTTTCTGTTAACAATAAACCAGAATTAAGTAAGATAAAACTTATTTTTCATAAAAGTTAACTGGTTTATTAAAATAATTTCTGTAGATTTTCTTAAATATTTACCTCTGATTTTTAGGGCAGGGATTAGAGTTACAAGGATCCTTATAAATGCAGGAGCCAAATTCAAATTGATTATCATGTAGCCCAACACAACGTGCTACACATGCACTTGGATAAGTACGTCCATTCTGGCCACATACTGGGACAAACTGATCGGCGCAGTTACATGGCAGACCTGAAAAAGTTAAACCTTGGTTAGGATGTTGACTATATCTACATCAGCTATAGAAATCGATTCATTATTTTTCTCTGAAGGAGGATGAGGCGTTTGCCCCTTAAATAATTATCTGAGGGAAGGATTATCTTACATTGGATAAAAATATGATAACAGAAGTAGACACTGTTGAATGAGTATACAGGTTTTCCTCATGATACAACTGTAATGGAGCCTGTCCATTATAGTCACATGCATGATATTCATTAAGTGAATGCTCCATTTTTTAAAGAAGATTCCATTTGTTTCTGGCACCTCTTTAAAAAAAATTCTATAGTATCAAGAGAATAAAACCTGTTGCAAAATAGAAGGAGTTTGACATGAATCTGTAAGAAACTGATCCTGTATTGGGTCAGGTACCTCTTTCATAAGCTGAAAAAACAGAAAGGTAAGTTGGGTATTTCCTGGAACAGGCTTGAGTCCTGTAAGTCCATGGGCGGGTTCCCTCCTTGTTTGCCGGAGGCTGATCACCCCTTCCTTGCCAGAATTTGCAAATTCCATTTGCTCTCACTCCTATTTCTTGTTGGAGTTTAGAAACTCCATCTGCCCTGATCTCCCCTTGCTTGCTGGGTCTGAAGGAAGCTGGAGGCTTGGGAGATTTGCACCCATTATAGCCACCTGATTCCACTGGGTGAGTGGTTGCAGGGACCCAGTGGAGAGGGACAGGTAAGTTGTTTAATGCTGCAGCATTGTTCGTAAGAATGAATAGCTGAGGGAGTGTTGCAGCTGGCATTACTTTGCAACCAAGTCACAAGTAACATTTATAACATCAAATGGTCATTAAGCAACCTGTTGTAGGTCAAAGACTACTGTATGAATATATAGGAATGTATGCAAATAATGAAAGCACATGGCTGAAACAGAAAGCTTCAAGTGGGTGGGATAAGCATATTAGCACTGCCTCTACTTATCTTTCATATAAAGAGAATACACAGCTACAGTGAGGGACTCCTTTATCTATGGATTGAGGACTTAAATCATACTAATCTAGGAGCAACAGCTCCTAGATTCTATTGAATCTACTATAGAGTAAGAAGAAATAGATTTCTTATATTTGTAGGCTAGCACAAGAGTCTGCACTGAACTATTCAATTTTTGTTAAGAGAAAGAAAAAATAAGTCACTATTTCAAGGTTTTCAGTCTATCGTTACTTATGGAAGGTATACAAGTTAAATAGATCCATCCCTGAAACAAAATAAACCTGTGCATACTGAACTCAAGGAAACTTGCCACAGAATATGCACAGATACCATGTTTCCCCGAATATGAGACCGAGCCTTTTTTTTTCCTCCAAAAGAGGCACCAGGTCTTATTTTCAGGGGGAGGTACCTCTGGTACTGATAGCCCCACCCAGCCAGTTCACTTTTTCTGTGGCTGCATTCTGACCTGCATTTCACAGTCAGACTTTTCCAGAAGACCACTGCAGCTGAGTACCGAGCTATGGATTCAATTCATAGTTTGCTTCTTGGCTGCATAGGACTTGCAGAACTGAGTTATGGATTCAATCTGTAGCTCAGTTCTTGGCTGCAGTGGCCTTCTTGAAAGTCCTGTGACTGAGAAATGCAGGCATGGCTGCAGAAGATGCCACAGAAGAAGTGGGCTGGCGAGGATAGGTCTATCAGGTAAGTTGATGCGGGGCACATGGGCTAGCTACATACACACACACACCTTGATTTTTAGGTGTGTGATTTGCCCCAAAACTAGGGCTTGTTTTCAGGGTAGGACTGCCCTCCAAAATCAAGCTAGGGCTTATTTTTGGGGTAGGCCTTACTTTCGGGGAAACACAGTATATTATTGCCCAATTCTGTTGCAGGCAAATAAGCTTTATTTTTCTGTGTGTTTGTGTGTGTGAGGAATTTATGAGGAATTATTTTGATTTACATCTGTAAGTGAGGATCATTTAATTTATATAAAGTGTATTTAGCAGGAAATGAATTTTAATCAAGTAATATTAATTTTCATTCTCCTCCCTTTTTTGAAGTGAACCTCTACCTAGCATATATATAGATACAAATGTACAAAAACCTATGTGGGACATGTTATATTTATCAATGGAAAAAAATCTACCAGACTGACTTCAATGGAAACACTACTTTTTAAATATGAGGCAGGTAGATAGTGTACAGACTTTTTATTTGTATTAACAACTGCTTTTCTGCCCAATCTTTCCATTTTAAATACAGCATTTCTTTCTTTTTAGAAAATATAGTTATATCAAGTGGTATTAATCTTTTTAAACGTTTGTAAAAATACATTATAATAGCTTCCTAACATTCTTATAATTTTCTTCTCCCTAGAACTGTGTGTTTTGAATTTCATTTATCTCATGTTGTATGCAATCTGCAATGTAGCCCAAAATATTTGCTTCAGTATCGGCAATCTGAATAAATCCAAAGGCAAACAGACTATAAAAAATTGTCCCAGGAAATATCAGGCAAAGTACCATCAGAGAAAACCAAAATTCAGCATTACAATGCTTCTGATAAGTTTCAAAGTTTCTTAAAATTTAAAACACTACCTGTAAATAGGTGATGTTCATCATCTGAACTTAATTCATTGAGACACTGACGAGTGGAGCATATCAAGTTCCCAGAAAAACATGAACAGACATTGCAGTCTATATTAAAAGATGTTCCGTGGCCTTAAAATAAAAGAAATATATTACTATATATTGGATTTAAAATATAACTACTTAAATATATACATCATTATTATGAAATATCGCCCTTGCAGCCAAAAAATATTATTCAATGTATACCCTATCTTTTATTTAGGAGTTCACAGTAGGTAGATAGCATTCTCTCCTGCATTTTTTTCACAATAACTCTACCATGCCGATGTGACAAGCCTAACCCAAAGAGCTTAAATGATTCAGGATGGATTTATAATTGGGTTTCCAGATTAGCAGCTAAAATTTAAAAATAAAACTTTTGTTTTATCTAAATTTAACTAATTTTCATTTTTAATGAAATTTCTACATATGATTTATTTGCTAAGGTTTATTTTACTACACTCTCTTATTTTAGATTAACTTTATTATTTACATACTGTAGAAATACAAGTAGTCAATGACTTATGACCACAACTGAGCCCAGAATTTATGTTGCTAAATGAGAAATTTGTCAAGTGAGTTTTATCCCATTTTGCAACTTTTCTTGACACATTTGTTACGTGAATCATTGCAGTTGTTAAATTAATAACACATTTGTTAAGTGAATTGGGCTTCCCCAATGACTCTGCTTGTCAGAAGTTCACAAGAGATGGTCACATGACCCTGGGATACTGCAACTGGCATAAATATGAGCCAGCTGCCAGGCATCCAAATGTAAATTCTCTTGACCATGGGGATGCTGCAACAGTAATAAGTGTGAAAAATAGTCATAAGTCATTTTTTTAATGCCGTTGTAACTTTGAAGGGTCATTAAAAGAACTGTTATAAGTCAAGGACTAGCTGTATTATAGAATTCTGCAAAAAACAAATAAATTGGTACAAAATAATCTCAGCAAAACTGAATGATACATACAACAAATATTTGTTTGCATGGAAAATTTGTGAAAAATAGAGAGGAGATCGTTGCTAGGAGGGCTTTAACTGGAATTAGTTTTGTAGTCTGCAGAATTTTAAAACTTTTGTTATAAAAAATTCTCATGATTAGTACTTACTTTTTCTTTGCCCTCCAACAATGCATGACTTTTGGAGATCAATACAATACATTTCCATACAATTTTCTAACAAACTATTCTGGCCACACGTGCAAATTTTATAGCACCCAACATCTCCAACAGAAGATGGTACTTGGATGAGTGTACCTTGACGGACAATAAAATCAGAGGCTTCACCCAATTTGCAGCCTATGTTAATATGCAGAGAAGACAAATGTTAGTGAGTTATGAATTCTAGGAGAAACAAGTATGCTACAAAAAGTATTGTATTCTCTTAAAGATTAAGAAAGTTTAAACTTTCACTGATTAGTTTACTCAGACATATGAAGCACTGTACTTAAATAGAGGCATATTTATAGCAAGATCTTAAAAAACTAAATTGGAGATAAAAGAGATATAAGGCAGAGATAATAAAATTACTGATAAATATGGGGCAGCATCAAATGAGATTGGAGAAAATAATCTGTGTGTGTATATGACATATATATATATATATTATGACAATGTGATTATAATATAAATAATGGCAATATATTATCAGCTGTCAAAAATTTACCAAGATGATACTAAAGATACAGTGAGGAAATATCAGAGGATGAGATTCAGATAATTTCAGGTAATTCCTGCTTCTGATTCGTTTCTATTTTGCTAACAATAATAACTCTCTGAGCAGCTTAAATCCTGAAAATTAATTTTTGGCAGACATTAGCTTTTCTGCACCTCAAAATTGAGGTGGGCCACAAACAGTATTTTATCATAATTAATGTATAGATTAAAAATGGGGGGCTTCAGATAGGAATTGGTAGGAATTGCATTTTTGCTGTAGCTTACCTGGATCCAGATTACTCTAATTCTCATTCGATTATTCTGTGTTAGGAAACACTCAACCTGTTATGGAGGAGGGCTCAATTGCAATGAGCCTAGAGTTACTGCACAGCCACAAAGGGGCTAGGACCAACCCCTCTCCAAGTCTTTGAAGTCTTATCTATTTGTTCCCAAGAGAAGGCTGCTAGTTGGGGAGATTTCGGTATTGTAGGCAGAATATAATAAAAAGTTAGCTTGAACTTTGCATGTGTGGTAGATTGATCACACCTGATATTTTTAGGAGATTTTAATGCAAAGGTAGGATGAGATAAATGAGATATATAGGATATATAGGTTATGATGAGCTTATTACATATTTTCCTTATGTAAAGGTGGATGACAAATATAACAAAACAGGTATATTTTGAAATTTATAGAGAAACTTTTGCCTTTTAAATAAATATTTTATCCATGATTGACTAGACAACCTCTCTTTACCATAAGTAGACTCATTGCTATTGATTAGAACTGTATCTCATCATGTGATGCCCATTGTATTTTCTAATGTCTTCAGGCTGTAGTGATACTCAACCTCTCTCACAGAATTAGTAGGTTGGAAGGGATCTTGCAGGTATTCTAGCTCAAGCCCCTAACTGGGCAGGAGTCCTTGGACAATCCTCAACAAATGGCAATGCAATCTTCTTGGAAGCCTCCAATGATAGATCACCAACAACTGAAAGAGGAAAGCTCTCACTTAAGAAAATCATTCCTAGTTCAAGATTGGATCTCCTCTATAAAACTTCCACCCATTGGTTCTGGTTTGACTGTTCACTATGGAAAATAAATCCCTATCCTCTATCTTGTGACAAGACTTCATATCTTGGAAGACTGCTATCAGGTCTGCCCTTGGCTTTCCTTTCTTTAGGCTAAACATACAAGTTCCTAAACTACTCTATATGCCCTTATTGTGCTTTTCATGCTTTTTTTTTTTTTTGCCATCTTATGAGTTCCTCAGTATCCTTTTAATATTGTATCAACTCAAACTAGCCACAGTATTCCAGATATAGTTTAATTGGGGAAACAAAGAGCAGTACTATAATTTCCCATGATCTTGACACTGTAGTTATGTTGATGCAAGCCTAAACTGCATTGCCTCTTTTGGCAGCCACAGCACACACTTCTGGCTCTTCCAGGATACCCAAAGACTTCTAGCAAGTACTAATGCCTATTATTACTTGTCATATGAATTTTCCTACTTAAATAAAAAATCGTATCTTTCTCACAGTCATAGAAAAATAGGATTGAAAGAGATCTTGAAGGTCTTTTAGTTGAAACTTTTGTCTATAGCAGGAGAACCTATATATCCGGAGACAAATGGTTGTCCAATCTTTTCTTGAAAATCTCCAATGATGGAGCATTCACAACTTTCACAAATACTTTGGTATTTGTACAACATCTATGATGACCTTGATGATAGTATTACATTTCTATTGGTATTACTTTTCTACTGTACCGTAATTAAAAAAAATTAAAATAAAATGATGTATCATTGGTATATCACACCCAGGAAATTATAAAAAATGTACAAAGATATTTCAAACCAATGTTGGAAATGAAAATAACAAGAGGGAACATTATATCATGTGACTTATGAGGAAGCTAAGAAGTTGTGAATAAAAAATCACACAATAAGGAAAAAAGATTTTAAAGATAATATTGTGAAGAAATCAGTATTCTTTTGATTGAGACTTATGGACGATGAATAAGACTCATGTTAGATTTATTCTGTACAAGGTAATTGCAGTAAGATTATTCTATGCAAAATAATGGAAAAGTACTGAAATTCCCCTACTAAAATAATGGATTGTAAAAATGTCAGAATTCATAAAAAGAGCAAATAGGTGTTTGGTCAGAGAAAAAACAACAACAAAACTTTTCTCAGACTGGAAAATTTATATGGACTTTTTGCTGAAAGAAGGAAAAAAATGAAATGATGATTAATGGGTCTGAAAATTAAGAAAGAGGTAGGTTAAATGAGGGGCTGAAGGGACTTGGATAACATCTAAGAGACAAGAGAGCTAATAAGAGAGTAAATTATCTCTTTAAAATATCAAAAGTCATTCATAAGTTCTTTAAATTTAGGGGGGAGTCTCTTTTTTATTTCTTGCACTTTTTTATCTATTAAAAAATCTTAAATATAAATTTAAAAGACATGCAAACTCTATTACCAAAGCAACTAGGAGAAAAATATATCTTAAGTCCACAAGAGGCAGACAGCATTCATAAGCAGCTGAGTCTTTCCTAATTCACAAGAGTACAAGAAAGGAGTAGGTATAGCACAATCATACTTACAAGATTCTGTTATTATAGCCCAACTCATAAATGGATCTGAAAAACTGTGATGTTATAAAACACATTCTCTGTGAAGTTCAATATTTCTATTAATGGCTCTGAGAAGAGGCGTTGTCTTACCTGAACGCCTTTTCTCAGCATAATGATGGAGAATCCACAAGTGGGCTGTCTTAATCTTCCTGCTCCAATAAGACTACGTCTGAAGTGTAGACACGCCTCTGCTGTGCAAGTGCACCCCAGTTTCAGAGTAAGGCGATACACAGATGTTAGTCCGATGCATGTGCTTTCCTACTATTAGAACAAGGGACAAACTGACCCTAGATGGGAGGGAGTGGATTCTCCATCATCATGCTGAGAAAAGGCGTTCAGGTAAGACAATGCCCCTTCTCCAGCATGATTGGATGGAGAATCCACAAGAGGGACATACCAAAGCCCTGTGTTCCTAAGTGGGGGGATTAGTTTGGGCCTGGGTCCCACTAGATGACAACACGTGTTGCAACACCCTGTGACCAAAGGAGGCATCTGAAGAGGCATATTTGTCAATCTTATGGTGACGGACAAAAGACGAGGGTGAGGACCATGTAGCCACCCTGCAAATCTCTCCAATAGATGCCTGGGTCGCCCAAGCCGCCGAAGTAGCAGCACCCCGGGTAGAATGGGCCGTGATATGCCTAGGAACTGTCAGTGATTGTGTCTTGTATGCTAGGGCGATGCAGGCCCTAATCAATCTCCCTATTGTTGAGGAAGAGACCTTCTGGCTCATGGATGAAGGTTGAAAGGATACAAACAATGCTTCAGATTTACGGAAGGCCAAAGTCCGATTGATGTAACGTCGCAGAGCTCTGCAAACGTCAAGTGTGTGCCACTGCTTCTCAAGGTTATGGGACGGGTTAGGACAAAAATTTGGGAAAACCACCTCCTGGGACCTATGGTATAAGGAATTTATCTTGGGAATAAATGAAGGGTCTAGTCTGAGGGTCAGCCTGTCAGCATGGAAGATGCACAAGTCCTCTCTGACGGAAAGAGTGGCCAGTTCCGAAATTCGCCTGGCTGAAATGACCGCCACGAGAAATGTCACCTTCATAGATAATAGTTTAAGGGAGCATGTGATAATAGTCTCGAACGGCAGTGAAGTGAGGGCCTGTAAGACCTGGTGTAGGTCCATAGAAGGGTAACGGTGAACCATTGGTGGCTTGGCATTAGTCGTTCCCTTTAAAAAGGAGTGCACCATAGGGTGATGTGTCAAGGGAGCGGCATTGTCACTTGTCCAACCCATCCATCAGAAATTCCAAGACAATCGGAACAGAGATGTCCGAGAGCTCCACTTGGTGACCTGAACACCGAGTGCAGAAACTTCTCCATGTGGCATCATATATCCTATTCGTCGAGGGGCGCCTGGATTGTTGAATCATGGCTATCACCCTCGACGAATAAGAGTCTCGGCTCAAGGCCCGCCTTTCAAGTGCCAAACGGTTAGTTGGAGCCACTGTGGATCTGGGTGCTGAAGTGTCCCGAGTGAGGGAAATACGACCTGCTGGAATCCTCCAGGGTGGGAAGACGGAGAGCTTTACCAGGTCGGCGAACCACAGACGTCTCGGCCACTGTGGTGCAATCAGGAGGATCTCTGCTCATTCTTATAGAGTCTTATGGATTGTCGCGGGAAGGATTGGCAAGGGAGGAAAGGAGTAAAGCAGTTCCCTGGGCCAGGGGCTGCAGAGGCCATCTGTCCCCTCTGCTGTCGGAGACGGGAACCTGGAAAAGAATCTCAGGAGCTGGGAGTTGGTTGGGAAGCAAAAAGGTCTAAGGTTGGGGAACCAAACCTGTCCACAATCTCCCTGAATAATCCCGGGTCCAGTCGCCATTTGGCAGGTTCCACAGTGGCTCTGCTTAATGAGTCCGTCTGTTGATTGGTCGCTCCAGATGGAAGCAAGATTTAATTCTACCCAGGACTCCAACAACTGGGCCTCCTGCATGAGAGGCCTGGACCGTGTCCCCCCGTCTGTTGATGTGGGCCTTTGCAGCAATGTTGTCGG